TTCCTATCTGATGAAACTATGGGTCTTATTCCGCTCCATATAGGTGCTTGCATTCTCCCCATCCCACATGGTCATGGCCATTGGCCGCTCGGGTATGAGCACTGCATCCTAGGACTAACGGGAGAAGACTTTAAAGAATCTAATAAAAAACAGTGCAGCAGAGTGACTCAATAGACAATGACATATTCTCTAAAGTGCATGCCCACCAAATTAGGCAGCGTTCACGCAGGGCAAACTGGGTTCCCGTGGCAAGAATCTATAGATTTTTGCTGAGGGAATCCCAGGTGTCCTGTTCAGATGCGGCCGCTGTTCCTCTGTCATTTAGCTGAATGGGCACAGCCGCCACATCTGAACAGGACACCAGAAATTCCTGCGGCAATAATCTGTAGGTTCTTGCTGCAGGAATCCCAATTCATCCTGTGTAAACGAAACCTTAAAGTTACGTCTCCATACATATTGCTGCCTCTTTTATAAAGCTTGTAAGTATGAGGTTTAATCACTAGCTTGTGTGATAAGTTCACTCTGATGGTCCAGTTTTTATGCAGGCTGTGTGAGCACTACATTTGTTTCTGAATAATTAATGATCTGTTCCAAGTTTTTCTAAATATAGTAACAATTTACCTCCCTTCAGATTGCTACTGTAGTTTGCTCTTTCTCAAATCTCAGAAGCCAGGAAGTCAAAGGGCCTGAAAAAATTAGACCTAGCACCTAATGCTTTAGAGTTCAGATCCTCTTCTCTTAATGGGGGCATACATTTCCTGATTCATTAAAGTGTATTTATCTGAATTTTTTTTTAGCATTTGATAGAGTAGGAAAATGTTTTTTTTGCCTTAACTTCCTGTCCTGCAGGCGCAAAAGGGGGTGAGATCATGGGCCAGTAGCAATGTGTGGAGGGTGGCCTTAAGCAGCTTCCATACTTTTTAAGGGCTAGAGCTTTGCCTCTCATAACAGCCTGGTATTTGGCCGTGCACCTTGAGGTGCCTGTAACTATTACCCATAGCCATTTGCTCCCTCTTCCCCTCAGTGTTAGTCTTTTCAAGGACTTGTGTTCCTGCGTTTAACATGCTTTTAGAATGCATGTCAAATGCAGATCAACAAAATCCCATTTGAAGAAGCAGCACATGTGGCAGTTCAGAGGCTGCGTTGACGTGCTTTGTGTTGCACTGCATTTCTTTGGCGCATGCCCGATCGAGGGGCATTTAAAATTACAGGCAATACAGGTCAGAAGCAGCCTTTTCTTATCAGATGTGGCATTTTCTAGTCGATTTGAACCTGCATGCATTTAAATGGAATACATGGCACTTGATAAGAGCAGCCATTGATATAAATCCTAAGAGATATTCGTGGTTTGTCAAATATTTTAGGTTGGGTTGTTGGTGTTTTATGTGTTCATTAAGCCTCATTGGTTCTTTGTAATGACCTTACACCATCTATTTGTTACAGATTTTCAATCAAAGCTTATTGGCAAGGAAGCCGAAGTTCAGAGTCTGCACAGCAAGCTCACGGACACTATGGTGAGCAACCAGCAGCTGGAACAGAAAATCATGCAGTTCATGGATGCAGGACAAGACGACAGCCTTCAGATTCAGCTGCAGGTACTGTTTTCTTTGGCTTCTCCTTTTGAAAATGTTTATTTACATGCCACCTCTGCTGCCACTTGGGTATTGTGGAGTACCCTAGTCTCTTAAAGCGGAAGTAAAGTCAGGAAAATAAAAAATAGCTGAGAGGTAGAGATTTTTGGCAGAAGACATGCAAAGTCTATTCTGCCAAAATAATTCTTCCTCTCCCCTACAGATTTTTTATTTTCTGTGTTCACTGTGCAGTGCTCTCTAAGATACCATGCATGGGGCTAATGCCAGGGAAGATGAAACTCCTGTGTGCATGTGCAGAGGGTTTACGTCATCAGTGACCACCCAACGGCCAAAGTGGGTGCTTGGGAACCTGTAAGTGTTGTCAGCAGAAATGGTGGGAGCTGGGGTCTGAAGATTGATCCGGCAGAGCTGGAGAAGGTCACACGTAAATTAGGTGTGCAAAGTTCCATATTGCACAGCGGTTTACGTCCACTTTAAGTTTTCATTGGACTTCCATCTGGATCTTATCACCCAGTGCTAGCTTTAATGAGCTGGGTTTTTTTTTGGAACTGATGGATGTCATGTTTTGTACGTATTTGTTTAGTACATTTCATAAGGAAAAATATTAGCAATATTGCATGTGAATACAGTATTTGATATTTACCACTCCTAGAGAGTTCTAGAGGACGTTTACTCTAGGTTTTCTTCAGTACCATCAATAGGCTATCGGTTTTATGCAAGTAATGGAAATTGTACAAATTGATCAATTATTTAACTTGGAATGTTAAAACTATTTTTAGATTCCTTTAAGATGAGCCTGACTTTTTTTTTTCTCCTCTGTAAGGATATGTTGAAGCAAAATGACACACTGAGCGTTCAGATTCAAAAATACCATTCCCAGATGCAAGCTCAGGTGATAAGAATTTACCTTTCTTTTTTTATAATGGAGTAATTTGGGGAGAGGTGTGTGAAACAAGTAGTTGCTTCCAAATTATCTTATTATAATTGACCTTCCATTAAAAATAAATGCAGCCAGGGAACTAGCATTTTCAAAAAGAGTTTAGCAATGGCAGCCTCCTTTTATTATTCTGTAGTGAAAAGTCAATTTAAATAAACTTGTTGCTTTGCCCTGCAAAAGTACAGGTGAAACTCGAATAGTTAGAATATCGTGCAAAGTTCATTTATTTCACTAATGCAACTTAAAAGGTGAAACTAATATATGAGATAGACTCATTACATGCAAAGCAAGATAATTCAAGCCGTGATTTGTCATCATTGTGATGATTATGGCTTACAGCTCATGAAAACCCCAAGAACCCCAAATCCACAACCTCAAAAAAGTAGATTATTACATGCAATCAATAAAACAAGGATTGTACATAGAACAATATCGGACCTCTGAAAAGTACAAGCATGCATATGTACTCAGTACTTGGTTTGGGCCCCTTTTGCAGCACTTACTGCAATTACTTTTACATGATATTCTAATTATTCGAGTTTCACCTGTAGTTTTTTTTCTGCCTTTTACAGCTGCTCTTTAGACTAATGGCTTATATGATAAAGCATACTAATCCTTACCGTTTATGTACCATACAAATGCTAGTTTTTTTTTGTGTTTTTTTCCTGTTCCGTAAGTGTGTTTTGTCCCACTAATTTTGTGTATTTAAATGTTAATTTCCTTAAAAACTATAAATAAAACAAAGTAGCGGCTGTGAAAAGTCAATTAGGGGCTTTGCCCCTTGGCAGTGTTTTATTATATAGAGTATGGTTGAAAATAGGTGTGTATATTGATTCTTATGCTTTCCCATTATATTTTTCTAGTCTTCTGCTTCGGTCATTGTGGAAGAGTTGCAGAAAACGTAAGTAGTATTATTTTGTCGCCGTTCATATGGCCTTTTTACATTTCCTGATGTTGGCAATTGTTTTGAGCTCTGAATTGGGTGTTGAGGGTGTTGAGACGCCCTCACGTTCTGGTGCGGGCGATAGCACGGTGGGCACGGGGCGTGTCTGCGGTTCCATTGACATGAATGGCACCACCATGCCCCCTCCTGCCTCAGAACGCGGCCTGGCTTGATCTATGCAATTCAGTGCCTTCCGGGCTCAAACCGCGCCAGAACGGACTGGATATGGTGTCACTGGGCCCTTATGGAGAGGAAAATCAACTTTGATGCAGACAAATGTACTTAAGGTTGTTCTTCTAGACTTCTCTTCGGTTTCCTCTTTTTTATCTTTTTTTTTATTTTTTTAATAAAGTTTAAGGCTCTATTCATTGACACATTGCTTTAAGCCCTAGGGCGCGAAGAATCTTTATTGAATATGTGACCTTTCTTAATGTGTTTTTTTTTTAGAATTGAAGAGAAGGATAAGGACATAAAGCATATGGAGGATTCTCTGTCTCTGGAACGTGCTAATTTTGCTAACAGCGGAGAAGAGCTCAAGGTACAGAAAGCATTGGAATTATCTGTCTAATTGTACAACAGTCATGGCTTAAGTGCAACGTCAGCCAAACCGCTAAATACATAGCTGAAATACATGTTTGTTTTGTCTGCTTGAGGGTTTTTAACTCCGTTTATCCGGTCTTGTTACACACTGCACACCTAGGAAGATCACTCTTGTATCCTGCTTCAGCTTTACTTTTTCCGTGATCACCCCTTTCCTAATTAAGAGGTGAGGGTGCTGTTTTAATGTGCAGTGAGGGGAAGAAGAAAGCTAAAATGCTGAACCAGGAAAAAAAAGTGTCGCTTTACTGAATATACAGTGTGGCAGAGGCATAGCAATGTAAGATTCACTGTGCAGAATGACAAATCTTTTGACAGGTTAACAATAGGTACATTTTTGACTAGCGGTTTAGCTCTTTTGCATGCAGTTCAGCTTCAGGTGAAAGCAATTCTGCTCTTTGCCCATGCAGAGCAAAGCAGCAGTCTGCTTTAATGCCTCTTCCTAGCAGCATATACTCTTTGTGCCACGTCTCCTGGGGTGGTAGCAAAAAAAGCAGCTCTGTATAAGCTTTCAGCCTGTGCAGTTGGAGGGACCCTCCATCCCCTTGTGATAGCGGTATGCCAATTAAACATGCTTTTTCCGCCTCTGCAGTTCAGGTGAGTATAACTTTTTTTATTCTTGCACCTAGATCAAAACGAGCACTCCTATATACACACACCCCTATATACACACACACACCTATATACACACACCTATATATATACACACACCTATATACATATGTGTGGATATATATATATATATATATATAAATATATATATCTATATCCACACACACACCTCTTTAACCATTCCTAACAAAACCCAAACTAAGGTCACTTTTAAATACAGACACAAAGCAATAAAGTATGTTTGTTTTTTGTCCCACAAAGCATGTTTATTGTAGCCAATGCGCTGGTTATAACCCCATTTTTGCTGTATTATAAACCAATTCTAATTTTCCAATGTATTTCCCTTAATACCTTATTGCAGGATTTAAGGAAACAGAATGAATCGCTGAGCATTCAGATTCAAAAATATATTTCACAAATGCAAACTCAGGTAAAAAAATTAATTTAAAATGTTAAAAACTAAATTGTATGCCGGCATACTTACCCAAAATTCAAATAGAAAACTGTGAATCTTGGGTGAAAACATTGATAAATCCCCCAAGTGGTGAATAGTTTAAGGTTTAATTTTGTTAGCAGAAATCTCTTATGCCAGCTGGACGCTGTAGCTTCAGACCGCTGTACTATGTCTGAGAGCAGTGGTCCCTGTATATTGGTCTGAGTCACCACTCCCTGCTCAATTGCACTGTAGTGAGGCCTGTCATGCTCACAGGAGTAGTGAGCAGAGAGATTACCGCATTGTCTTTGTTCTTGACCATGGTCTGCTGCTATGTTGAAGATCAAGATCTGAATGTTTGCCTGGATCTTCAGACTGACTGCAGAGCATTATAACTCGTTGGCCTAGTAAAACCGTGCCCATACACTGTATGTATTTCAATGTAGGATGTAACTGTTAAAGTGTAGCTTTAATGATTTTTGTCTGGCGAATATTTTGTGTGCATTTTAAATGGGGTGCCTACAAATATTCAAGTTTTCAATGCCTTGACATTTATTTTTCAGGCTTCAGCCACATTGTTAGTAGAGGAACTGCAAAAAACGTAAGTTTGGTTTTCCAAAGAATTAATATTTAAAAAAATGGGATGTAGAGATTTATGTTTATTTGCAGCATTTTTTTTTTTATTTACTTTATTACCCTAGCACTCAGTTTCTTCCTTTTCTTTCCCTTCTATGCAAAACTGAGAATTTGGTTGCCATAAGCAAGAACAGTCTTCTTTAGACAGCCAGGTGTTAAAGTGTTCATTATATTTACGGGGTCAATTTATCAAAGGCACATTTTATAAAGCACAGCATTGTGATTTTCAAACGTACTTTGCACTTAGGAGTTCTGAAACAAGCAAAGCCCCATTAGTTTTCATGAATGGGGAAAAAAGGTGTCTGGAAAATATCCTGGTACCAGCTTCTGCTCCTATCATGGAGTGTTCTTTGAAGCGTTGTGCAGAAAACACTCAGTGCAACATCTTGGGGTCTACGCCACAGCCTGTGTTTTGTGAATGAGTTGTAAAATGCAGCCCCCCCTCAGTGTCCAGTGGATAGTGGTATCTGCTCTCTGTTTTAAATAGGCCCTAAAGCTGGCCAGACACCTATAGATTATCCGCAGCTTTTCTATGGCCCGATGGAAAAAGTGCAACAGATTCCTCCATCTACGCTAAACTGTGTGGATGGAGAAATCTCCCACTGGGCCAAGCTTCAGTATCTTGCTAGTCGGCCCCGCTGGCTCTCAAAATATCTGAACAATCTGATTGGATGCAGGTATTGTTCAGGTATTTTGACAGCCAGCGGGGCCGACTAGCAAGAGACTGAAGCTTGGCCCAGTTTGAAATTCCTCCATACACACAGTTTAGTGTAGATGAATCTGTTGCATTTTTTCCATCTGACCGTAGAAAAGCTGCAGATAATCTATAGGTGTATGGCCAGCTTTAGGGACTTCATCAGCTCTTCGTAATCAAATTTGACATTTTAGACAAAATTTCCATTTGTTAAAAAAACAGCCTTTCTTGTGGGCTGAATTTTTTTCATTTTGTTTGTCTGCCATGATCTCTGTAACATATGGTCAGTAAATGGAACATCTTACTTTTACAGCATTGCAGAAAAAGACAAGGAGATAAAGCAGGTGAAAGATGCTGTGGCTCTTGAGCAAGCCAATTTTGCCAACAGTGGTGAAGAGCTAAAGGTAAACATAAAGGATCCTAGGCAATTTATATCACATAGTGTGTGGCTACCGAGACACTGTGAGGGTTTTAAATCATAAGAGAATGCAGAAGTCTATGGCTTTTGTTGAAAGGCATCTTGTTAGTAGACTTGCAGTAAGATACACGGATAATGGAGGAGCAGGAGAGCTTTTATTGTGTAATGGAAAAAACTCAGATTTCTTGTATGCATACGTAATTATATACTAAATCAAAACAGTTTTTTTAATTCCTTAAAATATCCTGAGCACCTTATTTATGAAAAGTTTATCCACATATACAGCTTAAAAACATTTAAAACAAATCAGTGTTTGCTTTAAATGCTTCCTGTACATTCTTTTTAAAAAAATGTTTTCTTCTGTATGTTAATTAGTGCCAATATATTCTCATTTAAATACCCATGGCATGAAATTACAGCATTTTATAGGAAAGAAGAACTCCGGGTATGTACTAAATTAACCCTGGCTGTGGGGCTACATGCAGCACTGCAAGGATTAAGTGCTCTTTTTGATCTGGGGTCTAAAATAAAAATGATATACTCACCTGATCCTCAGTCCCATGGCAGTGACTGCTCACCTCCCTCTGCCCCAGCAGGTCCCGCTGACCTCTTCCCAATATGCTCAGGCCAGTTAATACCCCTAAATATTGTCATGTGACGTAGAGACGTTGGTCATCAATCCTACGTTCTAACGCCATGTAACATGGTGCTTACACAGAGTTCGTTTCATAGAGGAATAGAGCAGTGACGGAGTGCATAGAAGACGCAGGGGACTTTATTAAAGCTGGAGCAGACAAAATCTGGAGCAGTTGCCCATGGCAACCAATCAGCTTCTCTCCTCAGTTTGTTCAGTTAAGATTTGAAAATGAGAGAAGCTGATTGATTGGTTGCCATGCACAGCTGCTCCCGATTTTGTCTGCTCCAGTTTTGATAAATTCCCCTCAGAGTCTCCTAGACTATAACAGTAAATTTTTCTGTCCATTAGTACTTGCTAGCAAAATGAATTAGCTTAACCAGGTCACTGACGTGTTTAAAAATGTTAAAACATTATTATGCCTTTTGGTAACTGTGCAGTTCTTTTACAGACACTACAAAGAGAGAACATATCTTTGAAAGCAGAGCTGCAGAAGATTCACGCATTAAAGAGTGAACAGGTGAGGAGTTATCTGGTCTTGTAATATTAACCGAAGTGCCGTCCATTTGACCCATCAGTAAGCCCCTTCTCCTCCCCTTCTCCTCCCCTTCTCCTCCCCTTCTCCTCCCCTTCTCCTCCCCTTCTACAGACCCAGTATAAACCAAGCAGGGTTGTGGTGTCTCTGCGTTCCAGGATGGAGATATTATATTCTCTATCCACGAGAGGGCAGCACCAGAGATATAAAAATGTCTTGCCTATCACAACTTGAAGCGTTTTGTAAAAGAAGCAAAATTTGTGTATCACTCGGCTGTAGTTCCTCCAATCATCTCTGAATGGTTGCTGACGCTGTCCTTCCTTCTGGAGGGTGGCTACTTATGTTCCCCATGGTCCCTGTGTGTGTTGTAAAGTAGTCACAGCTCCAAACTCCCTCCCCTAATGGACTACAATCTCACATTTGGTTTACTAATTTGTATTGAGATTGTAGTCCATTATGGGAGCAAGCTTGGAGCAGTGGAAACTTTACAACACACACGGAGACCATGGGCAACAAAAGTAGCCACCCTCCAGAAAGAAGGACAGTGTCTGCACCAATTCAGAGATGATTTGAGGATTTACAGCCAAGTGGTACACAAATAAGATACATTTTTGCTAATAGTTAAGGTACTTGAATGCATTTTTAAGATTTAACTCCGGAGTATAGTGTCACTTTAAAGGAGAACTATGAGGCGAGTGCTTTTCACTCACCTCATAGTTCTAGCCGACCTGTGACAATGAGACTGTAACAGGTCGGCTCAGTAGATCGGGAAGTGAGAGAACACATACCGGCGTTCGCTCACCTCTCGATCCTGTCACGCCTCTCTGCCGTGACAGGGGAGGGGCTGGATTCTCCCCGCTCCGATCCACCAGCGCTGACTGGAGGAACGGACGGGGAGGGGGCGAGTACAGCTGGCTCTGCCTCTAAATAGGCAGAGCCAGCTGTCACTCACGCAGCTGGGCGGATCCAGACATAATTGTCGGGATCCGGTTCAGCTGCGGTGTCTCAGTATACCGCGAGCTACAGCTCGCGGTATACTGAGCCTAGGGTGACGGGAGGATGCTAGTTTGTGTCCTCCCGTTACCCTAGGAAGAACTATGGGGAAAAGGGTGTAGCGGTGCCATTCATGTTTCCTGAGTTTAGTGTCACTTTAAATGCAAACAGTTAAGGAGCGCATGCTGAATTTCAAGTTGTTTTGACAGGCAAATCTCTGGTATCTGTAAATGTGTAGCACACACATTGTGTTCAACATTTTAGACTTTATGCATGTGCTTGTTTAACCAATATCTGTGCTCCCATCTGGTCCGATTGCACATTAGAGTAATGCTGAATTGGCAACTATTTTGTCTCCTACTATCCTTGTACCACCAGTTTTTTACTACAAAGCACCCTAACCTAATCTAACTAGATCACCCCCCACCCCCTCGGTAGCTGCTTCCCACAGGGTTTGCATTCTTTGATCAGAAATCTCTGGCACTAGCTTTCCCTGTGCAGTAACATATACATGAATTGAGCTGTACTCCTACTGTAGAAATGTTAGCAGTACAGCTGCATTGAAGTGGTTTCCAAATTCCTGCACAAGTGTGGCCATTTTTGGAGGAGATGTGTGTGCCTGCGATCTAAACACTCCACAAGAACACCGCAGAATGTTAATGAGCATCGGGGTGGGGGCTCTAGGTTAGTAAGGTGGTACAGAAGGGGTAGGGTGGCTTGGGATATTCTACCACAAATGTCGATGCCTTTTAAGGAACTTTACTGGCATAAATATTGGGCTTTTAATGGTTGACTTTCAGTGGAAAATGCTAATTACCTGGCTGTGTGATTTTAGTACTTTCTAAGGCACATCCCTGGAACATGCTTGTTGCCAAGTCTACAACAGTCAACATGTTTCTGCCGGTGCAAGTTTTCTTTAACACTTTTGTAACCCCCAATCTCTCCCCACATAAAAACTTGTGATCGCCATTCTCTTACATTTTCAATAAAATCCTATTTGTAAATTAATGTTATTTTTTTTTCCTCCTTATAGGAAGTTTCTTCCCAAGCTCTTGGTCATTTGGAAAGAAGGTAAAGCATTTCATATCGATGTTTGTGTGTATATGTAGGTATATGTATGTGTATTGCAGTACACACACATACTGTGCACAGATTGTAGATTTTTCTGGCCGATTGATCTAGTGGATTAGCTGTAGATGGATTTATGATCATTCTAAGCTACTCACCTCTGGAGTAACATTGAGAATCATCTACTTTCATTAGTGGTCTGCTATCCTGTGGCTTTTTATTGCAGTCTTAATCCCTTTTAGATTGTAAGCCCTCAGGAGCAGGGCCCTCACCATCTTGTCTTGAATTGTATTGTGATTGTAAAGCGCTGCGCAAACAGTTGGAGCTATATAAATCTTCTATAATAATAATCCAAGTAAGAAATTAAGTTCTACCAAAATGATTTATTTTCCTTGGATATCAGTCATTTAAATTGCCAGTCTGCTTCATTGGTCTCTGTTGGACACCAGCTGCACGGTTCCCCATATAAAGCTTCTTTTACTATATATTGTGGCCAGTGCTGTCTCACTTGGTGTTACTCTGTGACTGTTAAAGCTCAACTCAGTCCTTTTTTCCACCCCATCCTCCCTCTTTCCATGTACTTCTGGTAAAAAAGAAATTCAAATTTCTGTGGCAAGACGGCATATTTTTAATTCTGAATGACGTCATTGTCCCGGTAAAGTCCGGCAATCTCTGGCATTTAGGTGGAGTAATTCATGTGGCATCTTTACACGGGCGTGCCTTACAAGGCTATAAGGATTGGTTAACACAACAGATCTTGGACAGAGAGCAGTGGTGACAGGTTTTGTTCCCAGAACACCCGGCACATGGGTGATATTTAGTAGCATAGTCACACTCCTAAACATCTATAGTGATTTATCAGTAAGCATAGCAATTGATCACTACACCGATGGAACAAATGGCTCCCTACGGAGTGAGTAATGTAGCAGTTGCAAATGATCGAGCAGGGCTCCAAATGTGTGTGATTTAATCCCTATTGCATGCTTTCGGTATTCTTTGCTTTATAGGGAGCCATATATTCCATTTGTGAAGTGATTGATCTATATTCCTAGTGATTTTAGTAGCAGTACTTTTATATTTGGGTGTACTGGGGAGTGTTATTGGTTGCAATTTTGTAACTTTTTTTAGGTTTATTTGCCAATTAAATTGTTTCTTTTCTTTAGCACTGCTGAAAAAGATGAAAAAATTAGAGCCCTGGAGGGGAGACTAGAGGCTCAGCTTGAGAAAGTAACCACCAACCTTCAGGAGCACAAGGTACAAACCCAGCTTAATCCGGTTACTGGTTCTTATGGGTTAAAGTAGAATAGTCATGTACAAGTGAAAATCTACCTTTACAATGCCGTTCAGTTATTGATTACTAGCAGCGCACAGTGAATGCACACATTCCTTTTATGTCAGCTGTACAATTCTTTGAGGATTTCCTCCTGTATGAAATGTCATGGTAAGAGCTTTTTCACTAAACCCGGTGTAACCATTTTGAGCCAGTCAGAGATAATGTTGCAAGGCTAAGCCAGTACATTCTCAGAAGCAGGATGGACGTGCCCCCCCTCTCTTCACACTGCCATAAAACACATACTTTGAGACCTGTTGTGTAAATGATGCCAGAGATTTGTACAAGTGTGGCAGCAAAGAGGATTAACATCCTGATAGTGATCACATCCTAAAAACAGGAAAGGTAAAGAGACCACCGGCATGCATTAACAATCAGTGCAGCCATCAATCCTATTATTGTAAGTTGCACTGAAAACATCCATCTGGCAGAAGGTTAAACTGTACAGAAGCTGCATGTTGTGCATGACCATGTTGTGTCAAACAGGAATAAACATATTGGGGGCTAAATATGATAAACATTGTCTCTGGACAGCAATTCATTTTTTGAAATTTACAGTAGAAGGTCTGATGGTTGCACAATACTGACTTTTGTTTTAAAGTTTCTGATATTGGCCATTGCTGCAGATTTAAACCCCATCTCCAGGGAAAAACAACTCCCATTGCAATTGGCCTTCCCCACACTACTGCAAGGGTTAACTGCTTCTTTATGTCTATGGTACCTGTGTAAATGACTTTTACTTACCTGATCCCAGATCCCCCGGTGGTCAGTGCTCTTCTTGTCCCTCCATTGCTCGGAGTTGTAGACGGTCCCTCAATGTTCTCCCAAATAATACAAGGCTAAGGGCCCTACATTGTGCATGATGACTTTATTGGGCCTCTGACTGCCGGAGCGGGAAATAGGCTGTGAGTTTTGGATGGTTTGTTGGTTCTCCGAAGGTTTCCAGTGGGGGGTACTTCTCTACTTGAAGTCCCAGGTCAGGACACCCACCCTGGTTATTACCAGGGGCTCCTATTCTAGATTTTTCATTTATTTAAAATCTCTAGAATGCAACAGGAGGAGTGCGAACACACAGAAGTCAAAGGAAACAAACCCACAAACTATGGCATGGTGATCTTGCCTTTGAAGCGCCAAGAGAAATAATTTAGTAGGTGACTCAGCCCTCCAGATATCGCCTATTACTGTAACTTTTAGTGGTTTGACCCTGTTAATCTCCTTTTCTTTTGTTCATGAAGATCACAAAGGAAACATTTACAGTTGCATCACACAGTGTAAAGGTGCCCACACACCTTACAATTTATCTGCAGATTTTCTGTGGTCAGATGGAAAAAGTGCAACAGATTGGCCCAGTGGGAGGTTACTCCATCCACACAGTTAAGTGTAGATGGAGGAATCTGTTGCACCTTTTCCATCTGACCACAGAAAATCTGCAGATAAATTGTAAGGTGTGTGGTCGGCTTAACACATGTATTTTCAGGTTCTGTTCTGTTCCAACTTGAATTTTCCTTTCCATGCTAAAAGTAGACCCCTGGGCAAAGCTTTTCAGTTTGGAGAGGTTCATTCTTTACATATCCGAGGTGCATGTGAAGGCTGCAGGAAGTGAAGATTCCACAGTGGGAACACTTGAATTAGTTAGCATTGTATAGCAACAAAGGGATACAAAGGGCGTTCGGATTGTATAGCACTGGCCTTTTGTATCTGCACCCTCTTATCCGCTTTTACATCTCCTGAACTGATTGTAAATATCATTGGTGTTTTACCATCTCTAGGTGGCAAGTTAATAGCCAGTAACTTGATTACTTAATAGCCAATAACTTTTGAATTAACATAATAATCTGTCTTCTTTCAGGCACTACAAAGTCTAAATAATGAATTAAAGGTACAAGTACAGAAACTGCAGGAACAGTTACTGGATCAGGTAAAAATATGTATTTTGTATCTTTCAGTGTCTGAGGACCTTTATGACTTCATTGAAATGTATTAACAATGTATTTTTTTTCTTACTTTTAGACAAACAAAGATCTGCTTGGGCAGATGGAGAAGAGGTAACTGTTGGGTTTATTGTGGTTGACTAATCCTGTTTTAAATTAAAGTGAATTAACAGAAGTAATTGGACTGTAACACATGTGGATCTTAAAAGCAGAAAATATATTTGAAGCATAATCCCAGTATTGTTGGACATGGCCCAGTTGTACAGAAGTATATAGTACAATATTGATCGAGTGGAGTGTTCCGTTGCCCAAGAGTGTAGTTTTAGTGGAATGTCCTTTTAATCTGCTACATTGGCTGTTTTATTTGCATTCCTCGTTTTTCCTAAAGGTGTAGCCCAAGCAGATAAGGGATTTGTAAAGTTCCATTTTGTTTTTAATCTTTTATGAAGTTATCAGCTAACCCATTATTTTTGTCTCTAACACTAACCCCCTCCCTCGGCCACTCGTATGCAAAAAGCCATTAAACATAATTGTCACAGGAAGGGCAGATGTGTCTTTGACTTACAGGCCTTAATAGGCGGTCTGGCTTCTTCTCTGTGCTGTTCAAGATACAAGGTGGCAGTCCAAGCACCCCTACTAAATGCATGCTGCTCTGCAGAATTTGTTGCTGGTCCCATCAGTGTTTTCTTGAGATTTTCCAAAAACCAGCTGGCTGCAGGGACCAGAGGGTGGCATTTTGTTCAGACGTGCAGTTTAAAGCTGAAGAATTCAGGGTTCAAGAGCTTTCACCTTAGCCATAGTTTTTGCATTAATCGAGTTTTTGAACAAAATCTGTTCCATATTAGGAGAGGAAAACTGACCCCAACATGTAGTTGTAAATGAGCGAAGGGCAGTAAATGATTAGTAATCTATTCAACTTGAGTGCTCCTTAAATCACGGTTATGTTTTTAGTCCCTTTTTCCCCTCGTATGCCACCATTTTATCTAGGGCATAGAAGGGTTCATTATGTGCATGGTTTTAAAAAGGCTTTGTTGCTATTTTTTTTAGTATTGAAGAGAAAGATGAGAAGATAAAAACGGTTGAGGAACTTTTGGAAACTGGACTGATACAGGTTGCAAACAGAGAAGAAGAATTGAGGGTAACTCTTAAAACCTTTTCTAAATCGTTTGATATTGAACGGAAAGCACATTTGTTGATACTTAGCCCTCATTCACACGTGTAACAGCTGGCCCGTACAGATCTGTGCAGCGTGCACGGCCGTATAAGGCAACTTCCAGCAGGGGCGTCCCGAGGCCGGGTGTCACCCGGTCTCCAGACCGAGTGACACCCCGCCGTGTCATCATTGTGCGTGACTACGTCATGGCACATGCGCGGCCATCTGATTGACACCTGCCATCTTGGTGATGGACGCCGGCAGAGAGGAGGGGATGTTCACCCGGTGCGTTGAGGATTGCCGCCGGGTTCCCTCCTCTCTCCTGACACTGTCGGGCTCTCGGTCCACCGAGTGCCTGACTTTTTGGAGGGGGTTGTCTCCAAAATGACTGTCATTTTGGTGTCACCCGGGTGCGGGCTGCACCCCCTTGGGACGTCAATGGTTCCCAGGAAGGACAGGTGCTGCGTGTGATTTGTACGCAGCAGCCTGTTCTCTAATGGAGTATGCGGCCGTACACTGCCCTACGCTCACCCGAACGGCACGTCCGTACAGGTGCGGGTGTCCCTGCTTGGACGCAGACGGGATCCATCCATATATGCAGCACAGATCTGTACAGGCCAGCTGTTACTCATGTGAATGAGGGCTTAGAGTAACTAACCAGTTCCTTCCACCTAGAAAGGTGATGGGATCCTCTGCAAAATGTATTTTCATGTGGGTGTGATGGAGTTAGCCAGGTGGTCAAAAAGAAAATGTTGCACAGTATTTTAAAACCAATAAACACAGCCACTTATAAGAACATTAGCACATGAAAGTGTATGCCAATCCTAACAATGAACTTCTCTTTGTTTTCTTTGGTCTGTCAAATGTACCATTAAAAGCATTTGTTATCTGTTCAATAAGTGCAAAAAAAAAAATCTTGTGAGCCGATTAGTGCTTTTTGCCTCTTTTGATTGTACTCAGAATTGTTCCCAGCTATCTCTGAGGACTTCATGACACCTCCCTTTATTTTATGCACCAGAAGGCGGATTCTGTATTCCTTTCCTAGGGTGACAATGTTGCTGTTTTATGACCATTGTCACCAGTATCACCAGCTATAACAAAATAAAAACCTAAACAAAAACTAGAGCAACCACCACATGTAATGAATGGTGAGCTGCACCTTTTTTTTTTTGTGTGTGTTTAGATACGCTTTAGTGCTGTTTTATGAGAGCTTTGTGTTGAGCTAAGCACTTACTGTTGCAACAGGTGTACCTTAAATCACATCTATACAAGACCCATGCATGAGGTGACCTATAACCTATGCTAAGTCACCTGTAGGTGGCTGCCATGATATGTTCATTTCAGTCCGGTGATGTTGGTATTGCCACAGGAAATTCCAGGCAAAAATTGTAATGTCAGGATCTAATTAAATGCTTGAGTCCAAGATTCGCGCATTTTTGTAATTTTCATTCAGTTGGTAAACTGTGTGAAAGTTGTGACATTTATAAGACCCCTAAGAGTATATTTCAAGGGCAGTTTATTAGCATTTTCTAAGAGTTTGCATTTTATTAAGAATTATTTATGTTTTTAGCGGCTGAGAGATGAAAATGGATCTTTGAGAATGGATGTGCAGAATCTGAAGGCTCAGCACAATGATCAGGTAAGAAATGTTTCAGCTGAAGAAGTGGCGGGCATTGATGGCCCCCACATCATCCAATTAGAAAAGCCTAGATGCCCATCCTATCACTATGTAAGAGTCTGTTCACCTCTCCTTCCTGTGTCAATACATTACTTGTATTTCTCTTTGATAAACTGATCTTATGTGTGTAATGGTAATTTTGTGTGTGTGTAATAACTGTATTTTTCCCTTTTAGGTAGCGCTGTCATCAGTTGTAGAAGATCTAAAGAATGTGTAAGTGTCCCATGTTCTTCAACAATTTGTGCTAAGTGCAAGACCTATGTACAAGTCGGAGGCCTGCAGAGTTTTTGATAAGAGGCTAATTTAAGACCAAAATAAATAGCATAACTCAACCAAGAACGTTGTTTGAGTTGGTGACTTATGACTTTATTATTCAAAGTATAAAATAGAAGAAGCTAGCTCTGCTAGATAGGGAGGCCGTTCTCATCCACATTTTCATCAAATAGTTAATCAGACCCGAGTGTCACATCTACCTTACCTTGCACATTGTCCTAACTCGTGAGAGTTTATCTGAGGCTCAAACTTTTCTTTAGTTTTGGACAAAGTAGGGAATGGTTTAAACACTTGTCGGATTGAGATTTCCCTTCACTTCTTGTCCATAGGTTTTAGGTCACCTAATGGTACCTATGTTAAGTCAATCATCGTATGTTAATTTCAGTACGGGGATGTTCGCATGGCCACAGGAAACCTTAGGCATAAATTGTAATGTCAGGATGTAAGTTATATGCTTGATTGTCTTAAGAGTGCTTTTCCTCTTTCTTAGTTTTAGATAAAGTAGGGAAAAGTTAAAACACTTGTCAGATTGAGATTTCCCCTCACTGCTTGTTCCATGGCTACCATAGGAAATGATTGGAATTCACTTGTCTGTATGCATGTAACTTTTGTGCTAATGTTTACATGGGCAAAGTGTATAGTGCAAATGTGCCCTATTGGTTGCTATGATGCTCAGTGGCTCAAGGGGCAAAGCACAGGTTCACATTAAGCTTGGATTTGTTTTAAGGATCAAAAATTGTTTAGTAAAGAATATGAATGGGGTTTAAAAAGTAAATATTAATCTTTTTTTTTTATATATATTGTAGCATCCATGAAAAGGATGGCAAAATCAGGTCTGTAGAAGATCTGCTTCAAGCTGAACAGTTACGTGCTGATAATGAGGGAAAGACAGTACAGGTACCTGCTTAATGTTAATCTTCCATGTTTGTTTCCATTAAACCGAAATTTGATAAAGGGTGTTATGATTGTGAGCCATCAATCATTTTCATGCTGGCACTTTATCAAGCAAGGTACACAGAGGATGTCTGTTAGGGGGCTAGTGTTGTGTTATTTTGGAACAGATTTGCGCTGAGTGTATCAATACATTTTCAGTATTAGTTTCCAACCAAATAAGACAAAAGCCCCCTTACAATTTTATGTGCCTGGGTTTTAAGTGAAAAGCGGGTCACAAGTGTAACCTTAAACTCTCTCCTTATCTGCCCAGAAATGTTCTGCTCTACAGTCTGTGCTTTAGAGACGCAAGATTTGCAAACACAAAACCATTGCATGGTTCCATGCTAAAAAAGATGCAGCTTTATTTAGATTACATATGTCACCCATGAAGTTTGCTCCTTGCTTGTTAACCTCCACATCTAATTATGCAAAGCACAAGGTTCAATTATCTGCTTCATTCATCTTGATGTAGTGGATGGGTTGGATGCAGTCACACACACACAATGTTTCACAATGTCTGGTCACTTAATTACAAATGATTCTCCCTTGTGGCAAAGAAAGAAAAGTAAAAACTTTGTTTTCATGAAGTGCTTTCAGCAGATCTTTTTATTAAACAGTATCCTACGTCTCTGTTAGACCATTTTGAAAGGGGAAGTTTTTGATCCATTTACATTTTTAAATAAACCCTTTCATCTTACACAGAAATATCTGTTGTAGGGTGCTTTATTGCCACTTACCTTCTTAATCAAGAAAGTCCAGAATTGCCACTCTTTGCTAGGAGACATTTCCTGATATTTTACTAAAATTGATAAATATAAAAAGCACAGTAACTATACAATCACTTTAATATAGATTGCATCCTTGACACCTAGTATGCAAAGCAAGCTGATCTTTTGACAAGAAAGTCATGTGGTTCAGGTTCAAACGGCTTTGTTTATCCCAAAGCCATTGACACCATATCAGCGCAGATAGTGACAACATGTCTTTGTTTCTAAACAAAGCCATAACACACAGCAGTGCGGAACACTTTTTTAAGCCATATGGTGAAATTAGAGGCTTATTTGGCAAAAGCTAAATAAAATTCAGCGAAACTGCCTACTCTTCCCTTTTTGCATTCCCATTAAATATGTGTGCACAGATTTCCTGTCCACTGCATATTGCATATATAAATATTGAATTCCCAATCAATTTGCTCATTGCCACTTGGCCCTTGAAGTTTGCAGCCACCTAACTGGTAGTTGAATTATGGGACTAAAGGGCTTAGTTTGGTTAATTTGTAAGAAGTGTCTGTACATTCCTGCATGACCCAGGGCACAAACCTTCAATGCATGCAGTTTTTTTTCTGTGTACCATAGTGTTGTGGTCTTGTCTCCCATTTGTCTTGTTTTTGTTGCTGTCAAGGCATTGACTAAAGAAATTGAAGCACTGAAGGAAGCTTTAGGAAACAGCCAGCTTGAAAAGACTGAACAGGTAACAAGCTTACAAAACCACTAATATATTAGAGCAGAAGCAGCTGAACGATGAACAACTTTCAGAGTGACCTTAGGGAGTGTTGACCATCAAATGGGTAGTCGGCATAGTGGGATCAGGTCCCACTAGAAACAGTGATACCACCCAGGTCATCATTTAGTACTTTATAGGAATGATTCTATAGTTAAGCTGTAAACAGAAGCTTTAGACCTGCAGTGACGAGGTGAATAATCTGCTTTAAAAATTCTGCGTCTGCTTTGTACTTGCTGCCTGGAACACTTCTAGTCCCTGAGCTCCACTCTGCAGCGTGCTGATTGAAGAAGTCAGTCCTATAGAAGTCGGTAGGTATTTCCCAACCTCCCAGCAAGCTCCAGATGGGAGCTCAGGGGCTGGAAGGGTGCCAAGCAGCGGGAGCTTTACAGTAGAGCTGAATTATAAAGCTATTGAAGCAAGCTGATCAGACAAACTTAACTACATACTAACATATCTACAGAAATTCACATCATGAAGTCCTCCTTTTAATGTTTGTATTATTGCCTTGATCCTGCTCTTCCTATCAGTTGCATAGTGTAAGAAGTACTGTATATTTGATGTTGCCTCATTACTCCATGAGTTACATAAAAAATGCTTTTTAAACTCTGTTGTGAATGAAGGACAACTGGTAGTGTTTAATGATTTAGTGTATGCTAACCTTGTACAGTAATACCTCGGTTCACGAACGCTTCTTTTGCGAACAGAAAGTTTGGCAAAATTTTGCTTCCGTTCACGAACTCCACATCAGGTGACGAACACGACCACGGCCATCTTCCCCTCTTTGACACGTGGTCGTGGCTTCCTCTAGCTGAGATCACGGTCTGATCACAGTTTGATTCGGTTCGCGACCAAAATCATGGAATGAATTAAGTTCGTGGACCGAGGTACCACTGTATATACTGTATACTTAAAGACGAAATATGGGATGAGTGAAATACACTCATCCGAATAGTTAGAGCCGACGTGTGACGCTGCATCTGTCGGCTCTATAGATCAAAAACTGAGCAATCGCATACCGCTGATCTCCCAGTTCCACAAACTTTTCCCTGCAGAGAGTCGTGACTGTCAGTCACCAGCTCCCCACAGAGATGCCCCCCTCCCCTCTCCGATCCTCCAGTACTGACTGGAGGAACAGACGGGAACGGCAGGCACAGTTGGCTCTGGCTCTAGAGAGCCAACTGTCAATCATGCAGCGGGGCAGACTGTCCAACTATCCTGACAATACTGTCGGGATCTTTCCCGGCTGCAGAGCGGCTCTGTACTGTCAGCATATAGCAGGCAATAGCCCGCTACATGCTGACTTTTGGGTCACAGGGGGACATTAGTCCTCTTGTGACCCTAAAGAGAGCTACAGCCATAAAAGGTTTGACCATAGTTCTCTTTTAATGTAGCAACGTTTTTTCCATTGCCCAGCATGCACAGGGTAGTTCTGGGTGTACAACCTTTATTGTTTCATTTAGGTTCCAGTTTCTACTACCAAGTCTTCCTGTTGTGCACTGTAAGCCCTCTTGTGCAGACCATTCCTACCTATCCTTCCCTTCTAAGTAGGCTCATGTCCCTAAAGAAGGCAATGAAGTAACACTGTGTTGGGCGCTACTCAGACTGGACAGTGTTTAACCTGCGGTTCTACACAGATAAGGTACACAGTTTACTTAGTATGCTGCAGAACCCACTTGTCATGGCAACAGTTTAAGACTTAAAGCGGTAGTAAACTGCTGTGTTCTGGGTGGGTTTCTGCAATTATGGGACACTTGCATTACAAGCGTGCCCTTTTCCATGCATATACGCAGAACATTTTATAAAAAATGCTAGAGGAAAAAGGAGAAGTTTTTTGGCAGAGGAGACTTTGCATATCTCTTCTGCCAAAAATCCCTGTTTAATTCCTTTTTTGTTTTTATAATTTACTTTTCATTTTAAGTTTTTTGTTTCATTGCAGTTGCATTGAATTTATGTTGTAATTTTCTATTCTTATTTAGGTTTCCAGTATTGCACAAATTCAGGACCTTCAAAATCAGTATGTATAATTCAGCGTTTGTCTTCTCAATAACATTACAGTTAACTGCAGCAAAGTGCTGTATACAGAATAAACTGGTTGGATTTTAATACATTTTTAATGTCAGTTTAATAAGATCCCAGAAAAAGGTTTGCAGTCACACTGTGGGTGGAAGGCGCGATTGGGGTGCCATTGAAATGAATGGCACTGCAACGCACCTCCCGCAGCAGAATTTGTCAGGCGAAACCGAATACATTTTTAATAATTGTATTGGAAGCACATGGCGCTTGAATAGCTACAGCCAGGAAATGACAGCTGCCAGTGGCAAGATTCTGCAGACGGCAGCTGAATGTAAATACAGCAGGTAGTTGGCTGGTGCAATAGCCAGCCTGCTATTGGCCATTTCAAATTGCAATAGCCATTAGCAGGCTGGCTATTGCACTCGGCCACTGCTTGCTGTGCCCTCCTCCCAGCGTGGAGGAGAGAGCTAGGGGATCCAACCAACTAATCGAGAATAGTTGACAACTATTCTCATCGATTTAATTGATTCGTTGGTTGCAGCCCTAGAAGTAAACTAAGCGTTGTAAAGTAGCGACCGCTCTGCCTGAAGTTGATATTGCAGAAATAATTATACATCAAGAGAGACATTTATAAAGAAATTTAGTGACAAACTTGGACGCAAAGAAGGTTGTCTATCAGTTGGCAAAGTCATCAAGGTTTTTTTGTTATATCTTTGCTCCTCTGCTTCGCTAATCCTGGGCAGCCCATGGAGACAGTTTTGCACATGTCTGCCACAGAATTACCACTGGTTGAGAAGATTTTCACTTCTAACGGATGCACAATGAAGTGGTTTGTTGCAGGTTTAATTCTGTCGCAGTGCTACTTTAAAGCAGCTGAGGTTGGAATTTATAAATGAGCCTGTAATATGTTAAATCTTTTTCACAATCTCAATGCTCCTATTTAGCATTTCTTTGCTGGCAGCAGAATTATTACATGCCCTCAAGAGCTGTTTCGTAAATACATATAAAGCTTCTATTCTGTACTATTTGATTATATGTAGCACAAACCCTTTTGTCTGGTACTATTACTGAGTGCTCTCCAAGAGGGGGGTAACCGCTGTGTAAATCAGAGCCATACTGGGATTGAAGTTGTCTTTCTCCTTTACATAAAATGAGAGATTCTTGTGAGTGTAATAGATGGGACCTGATAAGCAGACTGTCCAACTTCTCCTTTGTTCTGCGTGTGCAGTACTACATTAATCTTGCAATTTATAAGGAATAAAGCACATGCCTATTTTTTTCTTATACATTGCTTTTTTTTTTCTCCCTAAGGTTGAAGGGGAAAGAAGAGACCTTAAAGAAGGCTGAAGAACGGTTTAATGAACGTGAGAGATTGATTCTTGAGAAGGAAAGACAGATTGAGGTGTTTATCAGTTTGCTAATACTAGACAAACCAACAGGAGATAGATAGACACTCACTCTGTACTTGCCTTCCTTATGAACCCCAACTGCTGAAACCCTGATACACACTCACTCTGTACTTGACTTGCTTATGAACCCCAACTGCTAACACCCTGATAAATATTTGGTATTTTAGGGTATAGATGAGCTTGTGACACACTCCTGCCTTTTCTTTAATGTGGCAATGGATGCATTAGCGGCCAAGGCCAAGTGCTGCCTCATGTGGGTGCATACCGATCCCCGTGCAGGCTTGAACTTTAAGAATATCAGAACTTCTACTTAACTATTGTGATGTTGCTGTAGTTGGGTAGGGTGAGTAGAATCTTCCTCTGGTGACTCATATAAAGTGAATCTGTTAGTTTGGCAAGTATGGTCTGGGTACGCGTTTTACTTCATATGTTACAATACTACCTATGGATTATAATTGTGTGGTCGGCTCTTTATATACTTATAGGATCTGCACAAGGAAAGTTCACAGTTGAAAATCCACATTGAAGAAGTCCAGCACAGACTACAACAGGTATGGTAAACACTGCATGTCAGTATTTCTACAATCAGCTTTAATTGGTGTTTTTTGTATGTGTGAAAAGCACAGGAGTCAGAAATGTTTGGGCCAGTCAGTATGTCGATACAGATGTCTGTTTAAAACCTTTTAAAGCAGAGTTGTAGTCAGACAGGTTAACTATAGTATAGTGAGGGTTGAAACTGCTGTGTTTTCTTTTTTTGTTTTGTCGTTTGTGTCTCATATCGGAGATTTCCCTTCACTTTCTACCTTGTAGACTCAACAGGAAGTTAGAAGATATCGTTCCAATTTGAGGGTGATCCCCTCTTAGACAGTTGTCACCGGATAAAGTGTCCCTATTGAAATATTTTCCTTCTGTATCTTTCCCTCTATTTCTGGTGGCAGCTCGAAATGTTGGATTTATCCTCGCATTCCCGGTGACATTGGGGATCAGGACCATTAGAGAGAATAAATCAAACGTGGACCCACAGCAATAAACATGTCGGGGGTTCTAACTTCTAACCACTTTATCCAAATATAAATAAAAGTTAAGACATTAGCTATACTTTACATAGAATCATTCTATTATCTGGATCCATATTTCCACTGGTAATATTAATGTGCACCTGAACCGAATATCTCCATATGGTTCAATGCCAAATAAAAGTAAAGGCATATTATGTGGTTTTTGTAATGTTTGGCAGAGTATCTTGGGGTAGGGTTTGGATAAAGCTGACCAATCAACTCTGCCTGAACACCTAGCATCATACTTCTAAGACTGGCAGAGATCTTGGACCACTCTAAAGAAAACCCACGCGTAGTATAAAATGTACAGTCGGCACCATAGGTATTGTACCTGCTCCTACATGCAAAGTGCCATCTACCACCTAATCCGTTGCTGCAGCCATGAGGGAAACACTTGTTGTTCTGATTGGAATTTACAATGTAGTACGTGATCCCCAAGTGGCCAGTCACTATAACTTTGACTTCTTCTACAGTAAAAGTTTCTTCTTTTTGTGTTATTTTTAGATTAACTGCATGTTAATATATTAACAAAATGAATTGTGTTTTTCAAATAATTACAAGTTTGGTCTTTTGTTTCTGTCATTTCTAGCAAGATTCTGGGTCAACAGAAGCTCAGGATCTTCAGAGGATGTAAGTGGTGACCACGGTTAGCATTGTCTTGCAGTGTCACCTTATAAAGCCTAAAATTGTATATTTGTTTTTAATATTCTAACAGAGTGAAGAGACAGTCATAGTTATAGAGAGAAAATATTGAAGAAAGTAGGTAAAGGACAAAGAGAGGGAGGAGCAAACGTGCCCCCCTTGGGGTCACTGTTAGTCCCCTGTTCTGATGCATATATTAGATTATATATATTTAATATGTAAATATAATTTATTACTGCACATCATTGTTGTCACCCCATTTTTTGGGTCGGAAGAGTTTGGACTTTTTGTTTGTTACTGAATATACAAAAATAGACTGGGGTGGTCATCTGACATGCAGCCATCCTCTGGATGTGTATGTCAACTTTAAAAGCAATCTCCTAAGGGCAGATTTAGGGAAGGAGGCAGTGTATTTAGAAATGGCGACCACTATTAAGTGATTCTACCAAAGGCAATGGGAGTTGCAAGATGGCAGGTGAACTAGGTAATGAAGTGAGAGGGAGACAGGTCTTTTTCGCAAACAAGGGGGCAGGTAAGAATGCTTTGGGGTTTGGGCATCAACGCTAGTGCTGGTTGTTTTGATCATTTTTTAGTTTACAGCAGCCATTTGCTCAAAGGTTGGGTTGAGTGTCATGGAAAAAAGCCTTTTACAATTTTGTTTTCATCACAGTATAATTAATTGAGTTGCTTTTAATGAGGAACTCTGGGCAAAATTTTAAGTAAACCCTTGCAGTGGGACTACCCTGCATTGCAAGGGTTAACTGCTCGTTTTGCTCTAGGGAGAAAAATAACAGTTATACTCGCCTGATCCTCCCAGCCAGCCCACTGTGATGGCGTTTTCTCCTGCCTGTCTCCTCCTATGCTCCAGTGAGGGTATGTCCCTCGATGTTCTCATGTCCTATACACTGAATAAAACATGATGACCTAGGAAATTTTAGACTGCTGCAGCGGAGAGAGGCTGAGAGGACCAATGTAAGTGCAAGCCGGCTCCGAGGAGTCGAGTATAACTTTTTTTTTTATTTCCCTCCCTGGAACAAAACGGGACTGAAAGGGTTAATGCATTATTTCCCCCGGAGTTATTCTTTAAACCAGGATAAGTTGTTGGATGAAACCTAATTGAAAGCCCTAAATTGCCAAATGCATGGCCAGCACAGAAGGCATGGTACCAAGAAACGATTGTACTAGGAACTATCTATTCCATGTACCGTCTCCGTTTTCTACCATCACCCTTAGTTTTAGTTTATTTCTATTCTCAGTTGTCGAGAAATATGCATTAGTATTAACTGAAAATACAATAAAAGTTTATTTTAACTATTGTGCAGAGTGGAGCAGCAGGAGCAAAAAATAAGGGACGTGGAGGCAATAATACTGGAGAGGGAGAAGAGCATTGCAGGCACAACTCAGGAACTAACGGTAACATGACTGATCCGGGGGAATTTCTGTTAATCGTTGAGTCTCATCCCTGGCCTCTTTTTCATTGTGCCTTTTATTTGTATATTCTCTTACAGGGTCTGAAAAAGGAGAATGAAATTCTGAAAATTCAGGCCAGTGAACTGCAAAAAATACACGATCAACAGTTACAGCAGGTTTGTTACTCATATCATATGGACAATGCAAAGTTATGTTCCATGTTAGGAAGAGCTGCAGGTGCAGCTTTAGAGAAGGGGTGGGGTGGGCATCCTCGGCACGCCAGCTGTGCTGACACTATAAATCTCATAATACCTCTGCTTCTGGAAGTCATGCCTGTGGTTTTCTGCAATTTGCGATGCCTCATGAGACTTGTAGTTTCACACCAGCTTACCAAGGTTGCCTATCCCTGACTTAGAAGATAGACAGCCTAGCTGTTCCTTTTTAGTGTGTTTTGAAGAACTGCTATCTAGAGGCCTATGTTATGTTGACCTTGTCATATAGAGTGGACATATACAGACAAAACAATAATGAAAAATTGTCTTCTTTGCTGTGATAAAGTAAAACCAGCAACTTGCATTATTTTCATATCCCTACTGAAGTTGTACTAGTATATATATTTATTTTTCTGCATTGGCAAATTTTTTTTTGCACATTTTAGCGTGTTTTTGCATGAACGTTATCTTAATCCATGACTGTGCTGATTGAAAACTTGCCCAGGGGTACAATTGGATTACACGGTCATCCTATAGAATAGATTGTTTCCAGGGAACCATTATTTACCGTAGCAACATATGTTGCTTTTGTGATCCATGCACATAAATTGGCAGACTGCTAGTTTGTGATTTCACAGAGCACACACAATGCGTTTTTTTTTGTTAAATCTGTAATTATGGAATTGTCCAATATATTTGCGAAAAGAGTAGAATTTATTAAAATGATGACACAAAAGCAGGGTGGCGTATCTTAACTTTTGCAGCTCTGAACAGTGCCCTGGCCTTGCCTTCCACAGATCTAATTCTAGCTCCTAGAACCATGTAGTACTGGTTGTTGTTCACATTTTTCTTGCCTTAAACTACATTTTTGTCTTTTATACCTTTTTTATATATTTTCATTTCAGGTTTCATCATTTGCTCAAAGCGAAGAGCTTTTAAAAGCGTAAGTTTAATATATAAAGTAGTATTGAACTCTTGAAGTTTTTCTCAATACTGAATGCAGATCAAACAAGTATACATTGCCCAGCAATGTATACTTGTATTTTCACCCTGTTACCTTATCTGTACTGACCATGTTTCTAATGAAATAATATTGCTTTAAGTGTATGATTGTGTCTAATCTGTGCTTATGCTTTTAGACTTGCAGAAAAAGACAGATATATAACACAGCTGTTAGAGGAGGTGGAATCTCAAAAAGCTGCAGTAGAGCAACAGAGGAAGAAGAATAATGTGAGTACCGCAATAATTTATGGAGTCTTAATCCTTCTACAAAATGCATATAATTGCTTTATTTTTCCTTCAAGGTAGACATTATTTTCAATTCTGGGTAGAGTGTGGAAGCGTTTGTACTCTTGTCTGTAAAAAAAAAAAAAAACGAGTTGTGAAAGTGGGCAAAAGGGGCTGACCCTGTCAGTAAAATACAGGTTTTCACAATTCTTTCATGTTTAAAAGGGATGTTTCTCCAATCATCTTCCAGGCCAGCAACCTGAAAGATGATTGGCTCCTCCTTCTACAGGAGACACGATTAAAAATAAAATGGTTAAATACCCTCCCACCCCCTCGTCCCTTAGTGTTTTTGTGTTTCCTACCTTCCAGGAACGCTTCGTCACGTTTGTTTGTTTTTTTTCCTTTGTCCGGTGGGTCTGT